CTGTCTCTCTCTCTCTCTCTCTCTCTCTCTCTCTCTTTCTCTCTCTTTCTCTTTCTCTCTGTCTCTCTTGTTTTCTTTCTTTCTGTTTCTGTCTCTATTTTCCCTCCCTTCCTCTTCAGTTTTCTTCCTCGTCCCATCCCCCCCTCCAACCACCACCCCAGTCATGTATTTCTCTCTTTTTCTTCTCTCTGCCACGTAATTTTGGTGGGTGCGCTGATAGCTCTGCTGGTATCAAGCTGGACCAGTTTGCGGATGACACAGATTTGGATATCTGGCGGTGAGGAATTGTTTATGGAGTTTTCGGGGCCCTCTGCCCACTTGGCTTTATCCTTACAGATACCGACATTACGCTGTGATGTCTGGGGTGTTAGAGACCTTAAAATTCCATAAAGGTTCGATTCGCTGAATCACGCAATGGTAGTCTTTTTTTTTTTTCAAGGTCACATTTGGCACCAAATATTTTCTCCACATTTTCGTTCTTGGTTGGAGTTTTGACCACACACAATTGCAGTTGCAAGTGCAGTAAATTAAGAAATTTAAAATGTCTAAAAGGAATTTCATGTGTAAGACTGTATCTCGCAGACAATGAATATTATTTATGATTTGGAGTTGCCGACCAGTATTAAAGCTACACACGAGTCAGGGCGACAGTTTGTACACCCACGCCCTGGGGTGAGCAAACACACCCGTGACCCCTGCTCACACCGCCAGCCCTGCCACCCGATCCCTGTCCAGTCACAGACACCCCAGACGTCACCTCGGCACAGAGACGAGGGAAGAAATAAATCTTGGAAAAATGACCAATACCTGTGGGCGTGGAGCTGCGGGGTCAGAGACACGGGGGTTTGGCGAAGCCTGTCCATCCCACTTTCCCCACGTTTTGTTTGCCCACCGGCCAAAGGCCACAACCTCTCACGCGCACGCGTATAGAAGCGGTGTCGCCGCTGCGGACGCTCACTGACCACTAATGCTTGAACCGCCCACCGCGCGGGTCACTCATGTCGCCGTAAATGAATACAGCGCTGGTGGACCGGGTCTGGAACCTGCCCCTACAATCAGCGCAATTTGTCACGGGTAACGCCCACTTCAACAAGCGCGCGTGCGACAACTGTTATTATACAGAAAACATTTGTAGACAGAGCTCTCGGAAAACATGTATTTTTCAAACACTTTAAAGTCCTTGCACCCCAGAGGAACAATACGTGTCATGTTTCTAAGACAAGAGAAACGTGCTAAGTATGCAGAACAATTATATGTGAAGACAAAGCTGTCAGGCTTGTAAAACGATTCATTATTATAGTACTTCCCTTTCTTTATAATTACACAGACCACGAGGGGTTGTAGGGTTTTTTTCGTTTTTGACGAGTCGCTCTCTCTCTCTCTCTCTCTCTCTCTCTCTCTCTCTCTCTCTCTCTCTCTCTCTATCTCTCTCTTTCTCTCTCTCTCTCTTTATCTCTCTTTATTATCCTTCACTCTTTCCATCTCTCGCCCCCAGTCACTGTCACTTCCTATCTTTCTCTCTTTTTCTTTCTCTCATTTGTCTTTTTCA